GTCTGCCAAGAAATAATCAGCCCTCTGTCTTGCCCCACATGTCCTTCCTGTTGCGTATCAGGTAGCAAAAGAGGGAGCATAAGCAGCTGCTCGAATATTCTAAATTTGTGTGGTTTCAACTTTTGGCACAAACATTATGTTTGTTATGTGCTATGAGGATTTAATGAAAAAGTACGGCAGTGCTGAAGCAAAAAGTACTGAATCAGTATGCCTGATGTGAAAATGAGATGAATCGCTGGAAGCAGAAAGAAAAAGAAACAAAGTCAGACCTGTCAAAATCTCTGCTCGATTCGCTTGATCCCGAATCTCGCCGTCTTGATGGTCGCAGTTGCTCCAGTTCTTCTTCAAGCTCCATTACTTTACCTTTTAGAAGATTTTTCTCTTGCAGTACTTCGCGCAACTCTGACAGAGTAAACCTGGGAGCGTTATCGCTTTCATCCTGAAACAATCGCTCTGTGATCATCCAAACCGAAAACAATGACAAAAACTGTGATTATTAAAAAAAGAAAGAGTAATATTACAATAATGATAATGATAATGATGATAATAGTGATAATAATAATGATAATGATAATAATGACAATAATAATGATAATAACAATGGTAATAATAACAACAATAATGATAATAATAACTATAATGATAATGATAATAATAATGATAACAACAATAATAAAAGTTTAAAAGGAAGAATAATTAACAAGAAGGAAATATTCTTTGGTTCTTACAATAAGTGGTTTAACACATATTTCGTGTAACATGGCATGAGAGTTATTTGTCAAATCAAAAAAATTTTTTTTTAAAAAAAGTACCATTTGGTACTGCTGCAGATCCTTGCACTGTCTCGTGGCATCTTTGAACAGTTTCGTTAATTTAATATTTGCTTCTTCTGTAAACTGTAGCCTTTTGATGATTTCACTCTTCTCCTCCACCAACATTCTACCCTGCTTCTGTAGCGAAGCATTCTTCCGCAGCAGCTCCTCATTTTGACGAATCAGCTTTTCAACGCTATTATGTAGCTGTAAA